GCCTCAGCCACTCCTCATGTGGCTTCCCCTCAAGGCCCTTCACCATCTTCGTTTTCTCCTTTGGACACTCTCTAATAACTTAGTATGTTTCTTGTATTCTGGTGCCCAAACTGCACACAATATTCAAGATGAGGCTGCCCCAGCACAGAGCAGAGCAGGACAATCCCTTCCCTCTGGCAATGCTGTGCCTGATGCCCTCAGGACACGATGTCCCTCCTGGCTGTCAGGGCACACTGGGACCCTCATTTGCCCTGACATGGACAAGGACCTCCAGGGCCCTTTCCAGCACTGCTTTCCAGCCTCTCCTTCCCCAGTCTGTACGTACAGCTAGGGCTGCCTGTCCCCGGTGCAGAATCAGCACTTGTCCATGTTAAACTTCATAGGATAAAATTCATATGATTTCATATCCTTATGATTCAGAAAACTAAATAATTTTGGTTCATGACTTCTGTTTGCTGTTACAGATATTTAAAAGATAAAGCTGTGTTGTTCTATTGTTTCCTCCCCCAGGAAGCCTTAAGGACAGCAATACTGCCTTGTGCAGAAATAAATGCTTTGAATTTGCACTCTGTAGGCTAAAATTACACCCCCCTAAGTTCCCCAAAGGAACACTGTGTCTGATGCACTTTACGAGGATTTGTTGCCAGACTTCACATCCCTGAACACAGAACTGTTACCAAGAATGGGATATCCCAAGCAGTTCTGGCACGTTCAGTTAACCAGCAAGGCCTATTTATAGAGTCTTTAGTTTGGAGTCTGACCAGGGCATTCCTTCTGTAGTGGATCTGTACCGACTGGGTTCCTCTCTCTTTGGAACATGTTTTCTGTTACTTAGCATTGTGTTGTCCAACATGGAGAGGAAAAAGGCAGTCAAAGGTTGGGTATGTTACATCCCATGGCTGTTTTGAAATGAATGTTTAAAATGAATGTTTTAAAATGACATTGTTATTGGTGATCTCGACATGGGGATTGAGTGCACCTCAGTGAATTTGCAGGTGACGCT